GGCAACGGGACTCCCTCTGGGGCTGCGGAGGGGGGGGAGAGCGGAAGACATACTGGAGACCCCTCTCCCAGGGATGTGCCTTCGCTTTGGCCAGCCCACTCTAGCGGGGAGGGTTTTCAGCCCGGCCACCAAGGGAACCCCTGGCCACAAACTCCCCCTTCCCTGCATTCCCCCCCTCCCGACACAGCAGTTTCGCTCCCAGAGGTGGGGGAGCAATAGAGGCCCTCCCCAAAGGAAGGGGGTCCTTCCCATTCATTCCAAGGGAAGCCAAAGGGAGAGGGAGGGAAGGGGGGGTTCATTGTCCCCTGTGACAGAAACCTCCTCCTCCCTGGATTTTGTGTCCTCCAGAAAATTTGGGCCAAGGCCTTTTGCCCAAAGACAGAAAGCCAGCCCCCTTTCTGAGGCTGGGGTTTCACTCCCCTCTGTGCTTGCTGATGGACTCGATGGTCCTTAGGGTCCCTTCCAGCTCTGCAGTTCCAAGATGATAGTTTATTATTCCCCAGGAAGGATTCCTATAGCTCAGCCTTGCGCTTAATATTTTCCCCTTACAGAGTTCCCAGCCAAGGAGGAATGCTTGGGTTGGGGTTGTCATTGGTGCCCCCCTTCCTGCATGTTTTGCCAGGGCAAACTGGATTTGGGAAGCCCTGAAGCGCTTAAGAGTACTCACACAAACACACACAATGGGCTTTTAAAGGCTGTTCTCCAGTGCCTGATGAACTACAGCAGCAACAGTGGGTTTGTTTCATTAACAAGAACATGGCGGCATCTTGGGCACTAACAAATTTATTTCAGTTTGGGCTTTTGCAGATTGCAACCCTCGCCTGATCATAATAAAGGTGTTTACTGAGAACTTTGATTCAAGTAATTGAAAAAAAAATAATTATTTTAAGTGTGAGATTTTGTTGCCAATTCTCTAAAGAAATAGAAAGCTAAGTTTATTTTGATGAAACACGATCATGCTGCATTGGTAATAGGAAACCTGGATGTATGCATGCATGTTTAAAGTGAAAGCCTTAAACCACTTGCACGCATCTCAGAATTGCACACAAGTGAGGTCTTGTTTGCCATAATGGAAAAGTACTAGGGGCTGCTAGTCGTGGTGGTCTGTGGATTCCCTCTATAGATTCCCTCTATGTTGGAACCCAGTTGCCTGGGGGCGGGACTTGGGGAGGAGAGCTGTTGCCTCCATGTCCACCTGCTGAGGTTTCCCAGAGGTACCACTGGCTGCAGTGGGAAGTAAGCTGAGCCCAGGCAGGGCTGGCTGGATCTTTGATTTGCTCCTTAAGGTATTCTTTTTACATGGGTCATAAAGTCCTTGCTCATATTATCTATTTTAAGCCGGTGCGTCTATTTTCTGCTCAAACGTGGGAGGGAAGTACTGTAAAAGGGTGAATGGAGTGGTATTTCTGAGATCCTCGCGTGCCTGCCCCCGCCATGCTGAAGTCACTGGGGGCAGAAGCAGGCCAGTTAGAGTTCTGATCTGGATGACCCCCGCTGGGCTGGACTCCAAATGCCATGACTGGGGCTATCATGTGGACGCCTGATGAGGTCACCGGGTGTAGGTAATAACTACATTTGGGTTCTGTTGGTTTCTTCCTGTTCAGGTCAGCGGGGCCAGAGAAAGATGAGCTTGGAATTGCCTTCTCATCCACCACAGGCAGGTTCTCACTTGGTGAGACTGGGAGAACTGGATTCTTGGAGTCTTTCCTCCACCTCCAGAAACTCATTCAGAAGATTTCATGTATTCCTTCATCCTTTCATCTCTCAGGTGGCGAGATGGAAAAGATCATGACTAGTCAGGCATTGATAAAGACACTTCTGCTGTGCTCTGCCTTTGCCTAAAGCCAAGCTTCCTCTATATGTCCACCCTGCCTGTCATGCTCTGGTTCCTCTTGCGGTTCCTTGTTGATTACACAGGGTAGAGTGAATGGGAGTCAAAGCCCTTTTTTTTAGTACTGTAGATACATTCGTTCTTGGGTGACCTATCAAGGTGTTTCTAGTA